ACAACTGTGTGATATGTTGTTTGTTTAAGTTCAATTGGAAGAGAAAAAATCTAAAAAGTTTTTCAAAACTTTGATCTTAGCTTGGCCTGCTATAAGCCAACACAATAAGACTTGGTCAATCTATATATCTTATCAGGTTAGGTTGTGACATATGACTCCCTATCTTGTATCTTATATTTTGTATTGGGATTACACCACAACCGATAATTTAAAGGAAAATTTGTTTTCCTACCCTCCTATATAAGATATCTTGCTCCAACCATCCTGAATTATTTTACAACTAGTTAGCAGCTTTTGTAATACTACTTTTATCTTATATCACTCATGTCATTTTTTATTCAAATTCAAGTCATATATGAAATACAATAATCTATAAAATGCAAGAAAATTTATATACTATAGATTTAATTCAAAAAATCATAAATATCAATTTATTCTATAAAATTCAATAATATTACGAATACTCAAAAGACTTATATATATCATATATAAAAAGTTACATGGTGAAAGTTTGATAAATAAAGAAAAAAAATTTTTTTTTTATCAATTTGAGAAAGATTAAAATGATAGAACTCAAAATCATTGAAAGCAAAAGTAGGATTCGGGTTACCTATCATGATCGGAAGAAAACTTAGAATATAATTGATGGAAGAAAACGGCTTGAATGACTTTCTCTATCTTATCTTTATCTCTTCTCCCTCTCTTCCCTTCCTCTACTTTCCTTACTTAGCAATCCAGATGAGATGGAGGGAATGGTGTGGTGATAAAGTGGAGATTCATATAATAAAAAGTATTTTTAGTTTTTTTTTTGGGACATTTAGGCCATTTAAGGCAAACTCTCACACACAACGCATACACAAAGACTCGAACCCAAGACCTCTTAGTTGGAAGCATAAGCTCTCAACCAACAAGCCAAGGTGAGCTGTGTAAAGTATTTTTAGTGACTAATATCGCAACACTCTCAATTTGGCATTGTAGCGTTGCATGCCGCCCTCAGAATTATTGTAGAACAGATAGCTCAGTGCCGCAATGGCATTTTCTAGGTGCTTCCTAGCGCCGTTGCGAGGAAACATAGTGTTGCAATGTTTTAGCTCAAATTTTCTAGATTTTCATTGTAAAATTTTTGCACAAATTTTAGGTCATTACATAAACCCTCCATCTCTTTACCGCCATATGTATGTACTCTGACACTCCGGAAATTTTTTTATTCAAAATGACAAACTTTCTTTTTTTAATTGAAACGTACACTTCAACCCATGTTTATTTATATTCGGCTCCTTGATACGTTTAGCATAGTCATCTTAATTTAAAACACTTACTTTACTAATGTAGAAACATAGCTTAAATGGAAAATAGTCAGAATAATTTGTGAATCCAGATTGATATGGCACACGCTAAGGGGTTTGGCTGATGAGAAAGCTTTAAAATCATATATTTGTGTTTTTTTAGTCTAATTAAAACAACAACAATATCAAGCCTTTATCCCACTATATGGGGTCAACTACATGAATCCTTTTCTCCATTGTGCTATATTACGGGATATTTTGATTTTCATCTAATAAAAATATGATTTATAATACTTTCTAACCAAGTTTTTTAGCTCTACATGTATCTTTCTTAATACAGGACAAATCTAATATATCTACTCTCATAACCGAGTCATTAGAAGGCTGACATTTTATGTGACCCAACCATTTAAGACGTCTCTCTCTAATCTTATTTGCCATTGGAAATACTCCAACATTTTCATGTATACTCATTTTGCATTCTATCCCTAGAAGTGAAACCACTCATCCACCTTAGCATCCTCATCTATATAACACTTACTTTTATGCATTTTTTTTTAATGGCCAACATTCTACGTCATAAAGCATTGGAAGTCTCACCATTATCTTATAAAATTTTCCCTTAAGTTTGAAGTGTGTGTTTTTGTCACACAACAGGACTGATGCATTCCTCCACTTCAGCCATCCAATTTGAATTTTACTAATATATACTATTCCCATCTATTTCACCATCACTTGGAAAATAAACAAGATATATCTAAAATATGTACTCTTTTTAATGACTTGATCGCTCAAAGTCAATATCCTTCTGCTAGATCTATTTCAACTAAAATTACACTCCATGTATTTAGTTTTAGATCCACTCAAATGAAAACCTTTTAGAGTCTTAAGGTTGGCCTCCATAATTCAAGTTTTCACTTCAACTATCTCTCTAGTCTTATTAATAAGAAGAAATATCATCAAGAAATGTCATACATCAGGATACATCCTCTAGCAAATGTCTAATAAGAACATCCATTACTAAGGCAAAAACATATGGGCTTAAAGGTAATCCAATAGGAATAGAAAAATACTTGGTCAAACCACCTTATGTTTGAACACAAGTAACAACTTATGCAAACATATCCTTAATGGCTTCAATATACGCATTATTCTCTTTTCTTTTCTAGAACTCTCCAGAGCACTTCTCTTGAAACTTTATCATATGATTTCTCTAAATCAATAAATATCATATGTAAGTCCTATGTATTCTCTCTATTCTTTTCCATAAAATGTCTAAATAAATATATATAACTTCCATATAGTAGACTTATCCGACATGAATCCAAATTGATTTTGGAAAATATTAGTATCAAGTTGTAACTTATGTTCAATAACTCTCCCATAATTTTAAAGTATAATACATTAACTTAATTTTTCTATAATTCTCACAATCTTGTGCATCGCATGTATTCTTAAAAATATGATCCATCACACTCCTCTACCCATGTGGTATCTTTTTAATCTTCAAAATAATATTGAATTAATTCATATAAAATATGTATACTGAATATAGGTAGTAAAAAAATATTAGTGTTAGAAAATAAAAAAAAGGTAGGCATAAGATTTTATGGATAGAAGTTGATCAATATGATATGTGAAGAATATTATTAAAACATATGAGACTTGTGTTTAATCAAATATCAAGTATTTAAAATATATGTTGATATAGAAAGATTAAGTGGTTAGTATTACCCATAAATATAATTTGTTGGAAGTATTAGTTCAACTTTGACCCTAAAAAAGATAATAATGCATTATCAATTTCAGAATAGTAAGGCCTTCAATCACTGATCATTTCAATGAGATTAACTCAATCACAAGATAGTTAACTCACTAAAATTCTTTTTACCATAAAGCTAAGTGACATCATAGGTCTCATATTTCACAAGAGCATCAAACAACATGAAAAGGGAAGAAAAATCATATTCTATTTTATTTATTTATAACGTGAGCTGGTTGCAAAATATATTCTACAATAAAGGAAGAGGAGTATAAAAAATCTCATTGAAAGAACTAGTAGTTAATAGTCATACCACAAAATGATTAAGGTTTCATCTGGGGCATGTTTTTTACTGTTTCTTAAAGCAGCTTTTTAGTACACAATTTTTAATTTTTGTACTTGAAAGCTGCTTTAAGAAGCTATAAAAAAGCCGTGCCAAACGAAATCTAAGACTTCATTTGGGACAGCTTTTTAAAACAGTTTTTAAGTATAAAAATCTCAATTATAATTTTTTGAACTAGAAAGCCATTTTAAAAAGCAGCAAAAAAAGTTATGCCAAATGAAGCCTAAGTCTCAAGATTGTTCGAGCGGATATTAGTATTGTAATAAGCCTAATTATATAATAAAAAAATATAAGAAAAATAAAATTGAACAAAAATAGAAGAGAAAGGAAGGGAGAAAATGCCATCATAGAAAATATTCTTCATGCAATTTCACTTAGTTTGGATATTCAATAGATATTATAGTTATTTATATATGCACATCTCTTTATTCTTTTTTCATATAAAGATCAAATGACAAATTATCGCATGGATATTTGTTAAATACATTGTTAAAACAGGTGAGACTTATGTTTAACCACATATCAAATAGTAAAATAGTATGTGATATAAAAATACCAAGTGGTCAATGTCACCATAAACTTAAGCTTCTTGATGACAAAATGAATTTGACTACAACCATATTTAAGTATGCAAGTAAATGACTATCTATCTAATGTCAAAAGCAATCAATTCGGAAGAAGCTCCAATCATTTTATCATATCAATGAGTTTAACTCAATCACAAGATATTTGAACTCCATGAAAATCAAATTTGACGATGATAGCCATGTTTTCAAATTGATTTTATTATTGCCTAACTGCTAGGATAGCATTATCTTTTATAATGAAGCTCATTGACATCATATATTTTATCCTCAGTAAGAATATGAAACAAAATGAAAAGGGAAGGCAAATAATATCATACTCTACTTACTGATAATGTGATATAATCATACACTAAGGGGCTGTTTGGTAGCACCCAGGATTTGATTTAAGTAGGATTTCGTAAATCCTCTAAATCCAGATTTCGGAAATCCCGAGGGGCCTAAATCCTAAAAACTCTTTGGTAACATTCATGATAAATCCTATTAAATCCCATTTGTCTGTTTGGCTATAGAGCGGATTTAACGAGCAGACTCTTCCTCTAGAGTCAATAGATTTCGTAAATCTGACAAAAAATAGAATTTTGAAAATCTGGGATTTAGCACGAAAAGGTGGAATTTTCCGTTTACGGTAGCTTTCATTTGCCATGAGATTTGATTTTGCATTTTAGGCCGTTTGGCTGGATTTCGCTCAAATCCAGCCTAAATCCTGCTACCAAATAGCCCCTAAATACAACAATAAAGGAAAAGGAAGAGGTATATCAAAAGCTCATGAAAAGAACTAGCCTTTAATTAATAGTCACATCACAATATAAGCAAATCTTAAGATCATCCAAGTAGACCTTGAGCAAGTCTCAAGATCATCCGAGCAGTAGCAAGCATAATGCAAACATAATCACATATTACAAAAAATGTAGGAAGAAGAAATGTGAACAAGAATAAATGCCAATGGAAGAGAGTAAATGTCATCATAGAAGACATTCATAATGCGCAAATACCTAATGTGGATTATTTAATAGAGATATAGATATTGATCTAGACATGTCTTTTATTCTATTTTCAGATAAAGTTTTATGACAAATTATTGCACCTATAATCATAAAAAATGTTTTTTGCTGAAGGCAAGCCCTTAAATATCATAGAATGGAAGATTTGACAATCAAAATAATAAATACCAATCGAAGCTAAATAAAATCAAGCACATCCTTGAGTTAAAGAGAGAAACCTTATCTTCACTTCATGATTAGTTGTAGAAGGATGTAATAGTTGAAAATTAACTAAATGTGCCTTGTTGATTATTTGAGGCCACAAGTCATGCACTCTCTACACCAGCACATCCATGAGATTGCTCTTTTGACTTTCAAATTAGACTTCTTGAAATCATTTGAGCCAGCTAGAAAGTGCATTTACATGCATGATTCCAAGTCGGTTAGATTCGAAGCACCCTTTTCTTGCTTCGCATTTCATTTCCAGTAAAGTGTCCAGAGAACTTAAGCCATATAATTGCCCATAAAAAAGTAATTTGTTATTGCTTTAATTCCATCTTTCATAAGAATAACATCAGAGTTTGTGGAGATCTGTCGTAGTCTCCAGAAAAGCACCCTACACACTCAAATGGCGCTGGTGCTCAGATTAAGAAGATCTATCAATCAATTCAAAGAATCCTAATCATTAATGCTCAGTCTAATACAACAAACTCAATGATGAATAGAACGAATCAAAATGCTGCAAATCCAGTTTTATGATCTTCTCAAGTTACAGTACAGTCCTGACGCAATGGCCTTAGAATGTTCTATGATTGAACTTTGAGATTTCGTCTAGTAGGTATTTGCTTTCAGTTGAAGGGTCCACTTTTTCTGCATTGACGATTGTAATCTTCAGCCGCTGTTCATCTCCATAATGCTCTTCTTTGATCTTGATTCGGAAAAGGAACTGCACAAAGAGAAAAGACCGAATAATCTCTGCAAATTTTGCATCATCGTGCTGTTTAAACATGAATAATTCCTTGGCTGAGCAGTGAAGCATGTCCTCTCCTGAGTCTTGAAAGGCAGTGACCCAAGTTACTCCAGTATGGTCCTGTACCTGAGCTTGAAGGAGATACCGATATTCGCATTCTTCAAACTCCCTATCACAGCGTTCACAGCACCAGTTTCCATTATTCAGTTTTGTAACTTTCTTATTGCATTGCCTATCACCAATTACTAAGGGGCACGCAGTGTAGCAGAAATTTTCTGTCTTTACAAATGAGACAGTTGCTTTTAATGTGACCCAATCAGGCTTGACACCTCTTCCCAAACCCTCATCTTTGATCTGAGAAACATTTTTACGAATTTCATTCAAAGGAAGTCCGGCCATAGTTTCTCTAGAGATGGAATTGGAGGAAATATTTTTACCTCCCTTATCAAACCACTCTATCAAGCTAAGAGCTTCAGGAATTTCAGGGCTTATAAAGAGCTGGGATGCAGAGATGGTACCAACTGACTTTCCACTGAAGTCGCTTACCTTTCCTGCCTTCACAGCTAAAGATGGAAAAGCCCCAGAATCAAGCAACTCCTGTAGTTGTCTGCCTTCTCTGTTGCAGAAATCCCCCCAAAGAGTAAGCTCAACACTCATACCTGACTTGTCCTTCAAATTAGCAACTCTCCTCTGCGTTTCCATACCATTCTTCCTCAATATAGTTACTGAAGGATTGATTGACATGACTATTCCGATAATATCCACAATTGAATTGTTCTCTGCATTCACGATATCACTTATTGCTTTGAAATTGAACTGTTGTGCAGGTATTGAGCCATCTTCTTCTGGACAAAGCTCAACAACTGAGGATGTCTCTAGAAATATTTCCCAGTCATTGCAAAGATGGTTAAAGTTCTTTTGAGCAGGTTTTAGGCTTCCCTTGCATATCACGTACACCTTTCCTACCTCAATAACTCCATAAAAGCGATCAACAATAGCATTGAAGCAAGTGACTCGAATCTCTCCTCCATCGGAGTCTAGAAGATCAAAGGAAAACACTTTACCATCTCCGCGGGCATTATTATACCTCCTAAGTTCTCCTTTCGCTGTCACTCTTGCCTTGATAGCCCATCTCCCTTGATACGGGTTCAGAGCTGCAATTGGGATAATCCGTGCGGGAGCCTCATTCTTCATAATTGCCCCATGGCCTTTGTAATTTGGAGGTGGCTTATAAGAAGGTTGTACAATTGGTTGATAACTTTGGCCCTTATTGCTCGAACTTACAGATGTACCATTAGGCAGTTGATCACCTTGGAAGCCTGAGTTGTTTAATAAGGATGCCTTCTGGTTAGCAGATTCTGCTTCAGGATGGCTTTCCAATTTTTCAAATACCTCAGATTCCATGATCAAAACTTCCATGTTCAGTATGACAATCATCCTGCTTCATATCAAGCTACCAGATTACAGGGATTTACAACCACTATACATTGCTTCAAGTTATACAAGATAAAACACCTTTAAGGCATATATGTCCTAGCAGCTTAAACATTAAGATCCGTGTCAATTTATCATTGCCAAACAATGAAAATGTAGTCTTCTCGAATAAAAATGTAAATATATAAAGTTAAGCCAATATAAAGTTGTGATAAAGCTGGTTAACCTTTCCCCCTAAAAAGTTAAGCATTATTGTTTCTTCCAAGCATCATAAATTAGATATGAATACCAAGCGCAGGGTTGGCACGGAGTTAACGGAGTGGTATTTTTTAGGAGAATGATGGAATTTAGGTGGTATGTATGTAAATAGTAATGTTTAGGTGTTAGATAAGTAATTAGGATAGTTTTAAGTGTTATGTATGTAAAAATCGAGAGAAACTCTACCTCCGACTTTGAACAGTGCTACATATGTATTCCAGCAGCTGAACAACTGATCCCCGACGTACTTTTCCAGCCCTCGCTACCTCGTTGAGCTGCGTAGCAAGCAACGCGTGCTGAGTCGTGGTGCCATCGGACACCATAATCCGAAACCTCTCCTGCGATCCTGTTATCTTCGTGACCTCCATCACCTGAAACACTGGTTTAAGATCCAGATCGCCGGCGTTGATGGCGGCGATGCCGTTCGGCGTCAGCCTTGCAGCCATTACGGGCACAATCGAAAAATTGAAGAATGAAAGGCAGACGAGTTAGGGTTTTGAGAAGCAACGGATCAAAGATATTTGATCAGAAACGGAATTCGGGAACTGGACACACCAGAAAATCGTGACGTAGGGTTTTCACGAGACTGAAAGAGAGGAATCAATAAGAAAAGGAATGAAGGGACCTTGCAAACAGATTGGACCTTGCCCGGGAAGATCGACGGAAATTTCTCGCAGAAGCTTTGGACCAAGGATTTACGAAGGAAGGGGAATTTCAGCAATTGAATTCTATCCACTTTCATAAATCATAAGTCGGTTCTAACGTCTGTTTTAACTGCATCCGTGGTCCGCGTCTAAACACGTGCTTTAATCGTGGTATGACAACCGACATAATAATAACTCAATTTGGGGTCCGGAGTCGAGTTCGTATGGAATCCGAAAGTGATCTGATTCTATTCGGATTAATTCGAATTTGACCTATTTTTATAAAAGGTTAGTTTTTCAAATTTGGATCCGACCCGCTTCAGTTTAGGGTCAACCCAACCCGGCCTGTGGATACGACAACATTGGTAGCGGTGGGCAGGCAGCCTTTCGCTAGTGAAAGCGACAATGGTAGCTTCATATCTCGGGACAAGACGTTGCAGCAGGGATGCGACGCGACGCGACAGTGGGGATGCAACGCAACAGTGGGGAAGCAACGTGGGGTAAGCAGGTCATCGACGCAGTGCAGTGGGCAGAACGAAGCAGACGCAGACTCGATGCGCAAGTGCGACTCGTGATTGGCCTCGAGCAGTGGGGGTCTGCTGAGGTCACATGGGCAGATTGGTCTCGTGGGCAGCAGGTCAATCCGAACTCTACCCGATTTTTGAAACATGTCGAAAATCCTAACCTGAACCCAAAATTTCCATGTCGGATTATTATCGGATTTTTGTGTCGTGTTAAATATTGAAACCTCTAAATTAATCAGGTGTGCGAGGACATATTAGTTCGTTGTTCTTAAGCTCGCTTTGAGTCCAATATGAGTAATTAAAATTTTATTAGAGTGCTAAAAAGCATGAATTAATTAGACATAAATATAATATATTGACTCGTCATTTCAAATAAGTTTTAAATGAACTAATGCATTAGATATATAAAATATATATTTTCTATTTATTTAAATCTAAAATAAAAATGAATAAATCTAACAAGTCATTTAAATAAAAAGGTTTAAATATTTTTTTGCTTATTTATTTATATTAAAAATAATTATTATTTGTTTTTGATATATTATCCAAAAATTATCTTGATCAAGCACGAATCTCGGGGCAGAATCAAACCGGAAACTTCAGAAATTAAATTCGGGAGCAGTCGAACTCCGATTTCATCGAGCTTATAGTCAAATTGAGTGTCTCAGAGATACAAACCCAACGACACCAAATTCAACTCAATTTGAGCCCAAATCAGGCGCCCGAAGTGCTGTTGGAAAGCTCGTACCACAATTTGAGTTACCAAATGGTCTCCGATTTTAACGAGCTTATAGTCGAATCGAACGGCTCGACGATACAAATCCAACGAACCCAAGATCGCCGAATTCTGACATCACTAAGGCCTTCAAATGTCCAGCAAACGGTGCACGATCGAAGGATTCAATATCAGCCGTCCATTCGGCCACTCCCTATTTGCCCCTGATCTCACACCTATTTACAGGCTATGCCACTCCAGAAAAACTATAAATAGACCCCTCATTTCTCATAAGAGGGGACCCAAGAGCACTCAAGCAAGAAGAATAGAAGAAGAAGAGAAGGAGAGGGAGAAATAGCTCCTCCTCGACCATCGCCGGAGTTCTTCCCGCCGCCTGAATAACTCCGGAATTCTGCCAGACATTCGGGTGACGTCGAAACTCTGCACAACTTTGTAATTGAATCTTAATTCAGGAGAAATTCATTGTAATCTGATCGTCTTAACTTGGTGGACGAATCAGTCTCTTGTATCTCAAACAAAACACTAGTGGAATCATTTCAACTGAGCGAGGCCCCGTAGTTTTTTCTCTTTTCAGGATTTTCCACTTAAAAATCATGGTGTTTATTTTTTTTTTCATGTTTGTGTGCTGAATATTCGTAAAATGTTCAGACGGAAATTTACTAACTCTATCGCCGCGTATATTCTAGCCCGGAACAGTTTTTAATAAATAGTTAATAAAAATTTACTAAAATACTTATTTATGAGACATTTAGGCCCAGTCATATATCATTTCATTTCATAGTATGTCTTATTCATAATATGGCATATCCTTATTAATTATAGAAGAGGAAAGAAAACCAATGTATCTTTAAAGTTTTATACTAATTAATTATTAATTAAATTCAAATTATATTTTTGTTAGAAATTAATGCAACATAGGATCTCAGTTATGAAATAGGAATCTAAGGAATCTTAATATAATATAATAAAGATTTATACTAACTAATTATTGATTAAGACTTCGTTTGGGACGACTTTCTTATTCCTTCTTAAAGCAGCTTTCAATTACAAAAAAATATTTTTTTTTACTAAAAAGCTGCTTTAAGAAGCAGTAAAAAAAAATAGTCTCAAACGAAGCCTAAGTTCAAATTATATTTGAGTTAATTGATGTCACAATGAACCTTAAAACGAATGTAGGCCCAATAGACCAATTTATCAATAATTCATGGCAAGCTGTTCAAGAATACATGACTAAACCTCGATGGAATTGTAATGTCCTAAACTGAACTCATCTGATGATGCAAATACTGAGGATTGGTACATGACCGAAGGAACTTTTTCAACCTCAGAATCTAAAGTTAGTAAAGATGAGTGCGAGCGAGAAAAATGAGGTAAGGAAAAAAGTAAATTAATGAGTCATGACATGTAATAACCTAATGTGCTTAAGATTGATTTATTTAAAAATTTTGAAAATTTTGAATTGGAGTGATGCAGTATTATGCTTTCAAGCACAACGGTTCTGGGGGAGCAGTGCTGGGGTGTCAGAATTGATGCAGCGACGCTGAGCTCTATGTTCTATAGTAACTCTAGATTGATCATGCATTGTTATGGCGCTAGGTTTAGAGTGTAGCAGCACTGGGCACTAAATAATATTTTTTCATATAAATTTTTCCACTTAGTCATTCCTCCCTCTCCTTGTATAGCTTGCCAAGGAAGGAATGGAAGGAGGGAGGAAGGGGAGAAGGAAAGGAGAGAGAAGAAAGAAAAAGAACTTTTGATGTTTTTTTGTTCGTCGATCACTTCCATTACAAAAATTATTATGATCATTGTAAGTGTCTTTTATCTTACTTTTATTATCAAATGATTTAATTTTAGGATTTATTCTTCTACACAAATTAATATTTATTGTATATTTTCTTGATTTAGTGAACTTCTACTGCATAACTTTTGGTATATTACTTATTATTCGAGTCTTTTTAACTGGAAGGTTTTGTATTTTCACTTGTTGAAATGTTATTTGTTGTACTTTATACAATTTGAGTAGTAATAAGGTATATAGAGATTTTGGCATCTTGATACAAGCATACTGATGACACAAAATGAATAATTGTTAAATATTATTATTATATATATTCTTATATTGTGTGTAAACAAGAAAGACTGATTATTAAGATATGTTGGTTAGAGATTGATTATACATTTACAAGAGGATGGGTCGACGACCTTTTTTTAAAATAAAATTTGTGGTGATATCCTTGATTACGTTCAAGATCAAGATTGAGAGTTATAAGAAGTTAAAATGAAGATGAAAAAGAGTGCCAACTTTTTAAGAAACCACCTGAATATTAAATTTAAGATTATGATATTAACATGAACATGATATAAGTACAATTATGAAAAATATCATATAAGTCAAAGCTCCTTACTTATTTAGTATGATTACTTAGCTTATACATGCATACTTACACTATTAATTACTTATATTATATTGATTTCAAGATTAAGATATAAATATGATCAAGACAAAGACAAGATATTATAGATGAATTTACATGTGTATGTTATGTACGATATAACTACATAATAAATAGATTTTTGACAATTGCACAGATATTTGGCTTTAATGATTAATATGATTCCCTTATTGGTTTAATCTCTTTACTAATTTGTATGATAATGGTGCACGAGTGTTTTTTATGATTTATAGCTTTATTGATTTAGAGTTCATATTACTCATGATTATCTGATTCACTATTTTGTATAGATTTATTTGAATGCTACCATTATGATTTGAATGACTACTACATGCTGTTTCTATTTCAAGCTTTGAGTGCAATTATAGGTGAGAGAAATTTTAAGGGAAGACAAATATAGAGATCACTTGGGCAGAGTTTGCTACTATTTTGAAAGCATGATTGTACCCCTTCCGCTGAACAACAGATGCAAGAAACATTTATGAGAGTAGAGCAAGTGTATAAGACAGTACAACAGTATGAAGCTTAATTCATTGTATTGGCCAGGCAAGCTTCTCACTTAATCGATATTGACTACTGAAGAAAAATGCTACCGCTATTTTAAAATGATTGAATAGAGAATTAAGATATCCATTAATGCCTTTACATATTCAAAAATTTTTTGAGCTATTTAAAAGAGTAAGACTGATAAAGATTGATCTGATAGCACCTACATCTTGGCAGGATATGAGTAGGGAAGGGACTAGGGACGAATCAAATAGGGACTTGGAAAGCATCAATTATAAAGAAGTAGTTCCAGCAATTTTCAAAGGGGACCAATAATATATACTATTAGCTATTGTGAGTGTATTCATTGCTGAAGGAAGCATTCAGGCAATGCTCTTTACTTACTAGATAATTCTTTTGGTATGGATAATAAGGACACAAAGTTGCAGGCTGTTCTCAGAGAGGAATAGGAGGAAGTTTGGATTATTAAATAACCTAGTCCATGTAGACTATTGGACAGAGGCTAGTAGGGTCATGAGCATACAATGAATGATCTATGAATAGGACTGATGATAGAAATATCTGTGGCAATCAGAAAGAGTTTGCAATATTAGAAATGATGGCACCTATACTAATACCTACATTAGTACAGCCTAGATTGTACAACCTACAACTACAAGAAGATAAGAATAGGATTGAGAGTCCTACTGATAAAAAAATTTCTTATGATTGATGCAGAATTTCATTACATTCATTGCATAAGTTAAATGATATATGACTGAATGATATTATAGAGATTTTATTTTTAGTTCGATTGGATTTTTTACATGCTTTTGCTTTAATTATAGTATGTTTTTA